CGACTGAATATTCAACTGTTTCAGTATTGTATACTGCTTCGCAGTCCTCAACACATGCAGTATCGAAAGTTTAAATATGGTGCACATGAATGCGAATATTGATGTTCGCATCAATGTCGTTGTGTGCAATGACATGGGTGTGTCTATGATACGTTTTCCTATAAATTCATCGAACGAAACTGAGACGCATGCAATGGTATCCAACGAAAATCTAAATAAATAACACTAAGGCAGCAGTATCCATCCCATGTAAAAAAAATACGGAAAAAATCAGATTAAAATCGATTCTTCATTGATTAAAAACCGATTATAATTAGTCATAATCGATTATAACAGCAGAAACAGTTATTCTACTATACCACGCGTTTCAAATTGATTAAGGCTGATTTTAATCGATTCCTAATCGATTATTAATTGATTCAGAATCAATTAAGAATCGATTAAAATTCACAGCAATTATTACAAATCCACCTACGTTCTTGCTACACTATAAAGACTATAACCTACGAACTAGATCGGAATGTTGATACCTCAATGTCTAAATCCTTACGCCTATATCGTATAACTACATTCCTACAGCTATATTTTTAAGACTGTATTCTTATACCTATGCCCATATGGCTATATCGTTGTACCTATACAGTTATACCTCTAACTTTATTGGGTGGGGCTAATTCAAAATTAATCCTTTCTTGCCCTATGATATTTATAAATACCATTTTATAAAAAATTGATTCTTTTAAACTATGAGACATTTAGGAAAGGGTTTTATATCACGAGCGTGGGTGTAGGTGTGAGTTAAAAGAAAACTATACTCATACCCACACCATCATTTCAATTGAAATCTTTTCATTCATTGTTTTTTAATTGCAATCGATTATTGAAAAAAAAAACCTTAACATTTTTACTTATTATTTACAAATGAAATATTAGATATGAGCTTTTTGAATTACTAATTCGAAATTCAAGTATATATTAATTATTTGGAGAATGTGTTTGATTTAACAGCGAGAAACGCGTATTTATACACTGTAGACGAAATATGAGAATAAAGAACACGATACATCTGAAGAAAACATTTGACACAAAAACGGTTTTTGACGAGGTTGCCATGGATGAACGCTTTGCTCAGAAAAGCTGAGATTTTTCTATAAAAAAATTTGAATCAAGTAGCATGAATTAATTGCACACATGAAATTTATAACAGCAAATAAGTCACGAACGTGTCTGTTCCAGTACTTCGAAATTTGAGTTCAATGCGTGCAGTGGAAATGTATGTAACACAAGGTATTCTTCCGTCTTTAAATTCGATTCCAATAAAATAAATTCTTTTACTGTAAATGAAGGAAGAGTCATAGAAAATGGTGGATGATTATTGATGTACTGCTCGATCCAATTTTCTAGAACTTCTTCACTGAGTCTTGCGAGAGTTGCATGTCCTCCCGAGAAGTTGTAACTGATACCAAGAGGCCGAAGTATGATCTGTATTTCATTCTCCAAAACATCTAAATCTGAACTTTCTTCAAATACAACTCGTAATGTTCGTGATTGGCATCTGACAACTCCTTTCATCTTCAATTGAAATTGAAAGAGTTTCGATTTGTTGTTAATTTTATTTAAGAGTTCGACTACGTGTTGAGTTCCTTCTTGAGACTGATCTCCAATAAAAAAGAGCGTTATATGTAGTTTGTTTCCAGATTGCCAGCGAACTCCCTTTGGTGATTCTTCTTCTTTGAGTAACTGTAACACTTGCGATTGGATTTCTTCAGGAATTTTAATAGCAACAAACAATCTCTTGTTTGTTTCATTATCGTGTTTATCCATCCTCTTCGTAATATTACTGAGAGACAAACAGTTAACGACCGCCAAAAGAATTTTTCAATACTTTGAGAATGAGTGACGGCACAAGCACACACACAGAAGTAAGAAGGAGAAAGAGAAAAAAGAAATCAAACAGGCAAGCACACATCAGGAGGAGAAAACATACCTGTCACGAAAGGCAGAATAGAAAAAAAAGAGACAAAGAGCAACTGCAGCAAAGAGAGAGAGAACGAAAGCACGATTGTGTACACTCATAGTTGGAAAGCCATGGTAGACTCTCAGATCGCGTTATAAATCTCTTCGACAACAAGATGGATTCTAATTGCATGTAGTCAGTAATTCAACTTGTCTTTGACTAGAGTAGATGTGTGGGTGTGCGTACTCTCATTATTCACACCCACACCCACACCCAATAAGATGAATCATCACTGTTGTTAATAAACAATTTTTCTCTTATGTATTTAGCAAGTTTCATTGCCGTTGTACGACAGAAGTAGCGACCAAATAAGCGATTGAGTATTTCTTTTTGGAAATGTGAACTTTTTCTGTATTATTTTAGATTGATTTCTTATCGAATGAGTAAGATTTCGTTAGAGCTCTTCAAGCTTCAGACTATTCAGAGCTAGCACATCAAAAACAGTTAACTTATACAACTGACCGTACTTTGAATTTTGAACCAATATGTTGAACAAAACCGTAAAAGTTTGTGTCGTGTATGTCCAATTTAAGTTTTTAAATTAGAGACTGAGAATACTTCTAAAAAAAACATCTTTAACTTTAAAATAGAGATAAGGAACACATGTAGTTGATATTGTTGAAAACGTGCCAATTAATCGCGATTTCAAGCTTAGTTTTTTAGAAATCGTCAATATCTTTCGGATTTTCATGACATAGGAACAATTCCTACCCTCCAAATAACTTAGGTCAATGATAGATGTAAATAAATTATTAGGGTGTGGGTGCGCGTGCGGATGTGAGTGCAGGTGTTGGTGTGGTTATGAATACAGATAAGAAACACATCCACACCCTTTCTGTAGCTTATATTGCTCCAAAAATGACTTATTTCATAGAAAACTAAAGTTTACTCATGATTAGAGTTAACCTAGTTACAATTACTATTATCCTTTTTTTTGTCTATATCTGATTAGATTTATTGATCGCCGAAAACTATGACAAGCAACGAAACCAATGAGCAGTCCGATGCACTAGATAGTGTGACCGAAAGTAAGTCAGAAGCTGTCGAAAAGGACCCTTCAATCGAAAAACGACAAAGTCCTCATAAAGACCAATCACACTTACCATACGTGAGCCTTCATAAAGTCGTTGGAAACGTCGATGAATGGGAATTGAAGCCAGAAATAGTGAGTAAATGTATTACCCAGTTGAAACAAAAATTAAGTATTCAAGAATCAAAACCTGCAGAACAAACAAATGCTGTTTTTCATATTCAATCAGACACCAAAATACAAGCCGCCATTGAAGAACACTTGAAGACCATGAGAGTTTTACTCGGTGACAACGGGCATACAAATTTTTATGATAAATTTGAATGGGCTATCAAGAGACTCACCAAATCATCAGTCGATTCCTTGGATGCATACATACAATGGAATTTGGAGAACTTTAGAATAATGACTGGTTTGAAATCGCTACGAATTCAGACACAAGTAGGCTCTAAACAAAAAAATATTAATCTAACCAAAACGTCACTTTCCCTCGTTTTAATTGAACTTTGTCGATGTTTGACATGTCTAAAGCTCCAGCATAAAATAGATTTCGTAAATTTCATTCTTTCCAATAGGTCAGAGCTTCAATCAATTTTATTTGATAATATTCCGTTGATAGAAGAACAAATTCGATCACACTGTCAAAAGTTACTTATTCTATTTTATCCTGATCAATGTGAAGCAAAACAAAAGGATATGTTCACGAGATTTCTTCAACTAGTAGCCGATGATCGAAGCAAGATTTTGGAAAAAGTAACTGCTTATCACGCACAGTCTCATAGTTTAATTGAGAATCTTAAAACAAGCGCAAACGAATACAAAGATATTTCTTTTGATTATGAATCTGCGAGAAAACACGAATGGATGAGTGTGAAACAATTAAAACGAGATATAATCATGAGTTTAAACAAGAAAGAATTAGAATATAATCAACATCATTATGCAATTCTTGCATATAAACATTACAGGGCTGCAGCAAGAGAACTCAAAGCCATAGCTGATGAAAAGAAAAGTGTTGAATTGGAAATATGTATGGCACGTTCTCTATACCAAGCCGGAGATTGTTGCAGATTAGAAGCTCAAATTTACGCCATCATTGGTATTTTTTTGTTAGTAACAAGCGATAAAACTTGTTTCACTCAAGAAAAATTCGAGAAAATAGAAAATCTTCGACAAGAAATCTGTTGTATACGAACTGTATTGTCTGCAGCTTCGCTCAATATTTCAGCAAATAAATCCATGTTACATCAAGCTGTGATGGATTATAGAAAAGGTTCTATTACAGTACAACAATTTCAAAATGCTCTTTTATCAGAATTACGATTTATTATATTCAATGAATATTCACATTCAGACATATCAGAAATAGAAGCAAGCACCAGAGTGACTAATATTTCTAGCAGTTTTGGCATTGGTATTTCGTATCTAGTTGGCGACGTTTTATTGAAGCATGAATTTCATCACGAAAATCAAACGAATACAGAAAAGTCAAAAATTCGAGAACGTATAAACAAAATTATGAAAGATGCATTAGATCATTACATTAAAGGACAATACGTGGCCTTTCTTCATTCCTTAACAGTTTTCTATGCCGAAACGAAAATATTAATTGGAATTAAAGAGTATCGATCGGATGATAATCATAAGATTTCGCTTGACATTCAACCGAGGCAAATTATTAAAGAACTTTTATACTATGAATTTTCATCTGAAGGTATTGCCAATTTTTTAGTATTGATTGGTGAAGTGTTACTAAGTGCACCTCAATTAAAACCTAAAAATAATTTAACAACCAATATATGCTTAGAATTACCAAAATATTCTGATTTTATACATTTTGCAACATTAGTATTTGATGAAATCTTGAAAAATACACAATTGATAGAAGCAGCAAACAATTTTGACAGTAAAATTACATCGACAACCTTATGTGTAAAACCAGATCAATGTGGACAAGTTGAGAAAAGCTTATTGAACAATGCTTTTTCCGTATCCAACACATACACAGTAGAGAAATCAATAATTTCTGCTGTTGTTCGTCTGAAAGAAGTGAAATTAGTTGCCAAAATTAATTATGCCATTGCAAAATTAATATCTGGAGGCATCGAAAATCTACAAGAGAGTGCTAATATGATAAAAGGTATCAAAGAAGAATTAGCAAAAGACCTAATAGAAGAAAAAATGTATGTTATATCCGGAATTCGTCTTCAAGCATTAATAGACATTTTGGCTGCATTCGGCTTCAATAATGACACATTGTCGATTAATAATGAAGTCATTTTTTTTAAGCAGATAATTCCTCAACTTGAATCTAATAATTATATAAAAATCATCGACAAAGTTTTAACTGACGATGGGAAAGTTTCACATTGTGAACCAGCCATATTATTTGATGATGATAATGATGACATCGACGAATTCGCACTTTTGGATCAAGTTTTAGATGGAATGTTACGATTGGATAAAACAAAATTCGTTAGAGATGTCCGTAATAACTATTATAAAAATGTTGAACCACTGAAATCTTTCATAACAGAAATAATAAGACGAGAACATCTTGCTGACATCAAAGCATGGAAAACATCGTTCTTGAAAGAAAAATATTCATTAACTTTTCAATATTTACCAATTTTATCTGTAATGTATAATTTAATATTTATAGCGTGCATTATCGAATTTCACCGTGAACATAAACTTATATTTGTTCCTGATAAGAAAGTATTAGATTTTTCTAATGGAGCGGCAAAAACTTCTATTTATGTTCTAACAGATACAAAGAGCGATCGAAACAATATCAGAACAATAAATGGTATATTTGTGGCTTCGAAAGTTTCGTTGAATTATATTTACAATCAGTTAGAACTTGCGAATGATCCAAAAATCAAAGTTGATTTACTAAATCAAATTGCGGATTATTATCGACACGAAGCTGAAAAAATTGATAAAAATCATCATTTAGAATCATTAAAAATATGGATTCGAACACTGAAATTTTATAATGATGCATTGGCAATCAATAGAAATCATCTACCGGCAATGCTAGGCCATGTTACTTGCCTAATAAAGTTAAGTAAATATACACTAGCTGAGAAATTCTTGATAGAAAATACTGAAAGAAAAGCATATTTTCGTGATTCACCAGAAAGATGGTTTCTACTAGGTGTTTTAAAACGTAAATTACAAAATTATGATGAAGCTAAAAATGCCATGGAAAATGCACTCAAATTAAAAACGAATTATATTGAAGCAAAACATGAATTAGATTTGATATTGAGATTAAAAAAAGAAACAGTTGCAAAACGAATGCAAATTTACAAAAATATGACATTAATTCATGCTGAACCCAGATCTTCACAATACAATATTCTTTCTATAGATGGTGGTGGTATAAGAGGTTTAATACCGGCCATGTGGATGAGTGAATTGGAACGAAGAACAGGAATGAATAGCAGCTCAATGTTTCACATGATGGCTGGAACATCAACAGGAGCGATCGTAGCTGCTAGTCTATCATTACCAACTAGATTTGGTACCAGACAACCTCGTTATAAAGCTGCAAATATTGTTGAATTGTATACATGTCATTCGGAGAAGGTCTTTACTCGTGCATCAAAACTTCCAAGTCTTTTTGGATTTTGGCCTATATATCGTGCTGAAGAAAAAAAGGCGCTATTTGATGAATATTTTGGAAATACTCGTTTATCTCAAGCACTTACTGAACTTATTATAACAACTGTTAACTCGGGTAGTAGTACTACAGAATTATTTCGACGAAGTGAAAGTTTAATTGATCCTGGCAAAGATTACACCTTTACTGATATGCTTATGTGTACTACAGCAGCGCCTACCTATTTCCCACCTTACAATCTAAACAATTCTATTTTTGTTGATGGTGGAGTTCAAGCAAATAATCCAACCATGATTGCATATTCAACATGCCCAAAAAATATAGATCGTAATGATATTTTTGTTCTATCTTTAGGTACTGGCGATTATGTACCCGATCCATTGAATCCAAATGCTGAGCGAAATCTTTTATTTTGGACAATTAATAACAGTAATGTTTTAAAAGTTATTTTCGATGGACCACAAAATAATATTGATTATCAATTGAGTAATATGTTAGATAGTGACAAATATCACCGATGGCAAATCTGGCTTGAAAATCCTATCATACTTGATGATGTACGGAAAGAAACACTAGACCATCTGATGGAACTTACCCATGCTCATTTCGAAGAGATGGACACAGCTGATAGTAAAAATCGATTAGGTAAACTCATCGAAAGATTAAAGGACACCTAGAAATAAATCAATTCAATCAAGTCGAAATGTCATTTTTCAATTTTTATCTCTCTATTTGCTCGACAACTTTCTATTTGTGCTCGCTTTATATTGAAATAAAAACTTTTCATTCTTTTTCCAATCTTGCTATGCTTTGACCAAAACCATCATAGAAAAAATATTTTAGAGTGTGGGTGTGTGTTCGTGTTAATCTTCCATTTACTGAGACCCACACCCACACCCCAAATCACGGTGCGCTTTACGGAAAATACTTGTTGTTTTGCTTATTTTTTGTCAGTACTTTGGGTTTTTTTTCCATGAAGGAGGGGCGTTGGAGAAAAATTAAATAGTGGAATCGATAGAACTTGTCGAGATCTATCTTGATATAGCCTTTTTATAGTTTGGTATAACCTACAGGCGAATACAGTTACGGAATACTCGAATCTTGCTCCAAGATATCCTACGTTTTTTTTCTTATAGTGTGACTTTTTCATTTTTCTATGAATAAAAAGGTGACTATCGATGAAAACAATATCAAAGATAGACGAAACAAAAAAAATACGTCCGAAAATCAATTGGATTATTTATTTAGACTATTTGTTTTCCTTGAGGTCAGCTATTTATTTTATTCAATGATAGTAGCGGGCGCAAACAAACGATGAACATATATATATATATGCATAATAATAGAAAAAGCGTTAGCTAAACTCAATATGAAATATTATTTATCATTTTAAAAAAGCTGGATTATATTGATGTTCTATATTCATTGTTAGATGTTGATAATCAAAAACTTGATATTATAGTACAAGCTAATACATTTACTAATACTCTCAATTTTGTATTAAAGACATTAAACAATGATATTTTCTCGCTTGATAATTCAATAATTGATCGATTTTGCACGAATATTTTGCCAAGAATTCATCAAAATGTTAAATCTCTTATTCTTGATTCACAATCTATGGAACGTATTCTTCTTGCAGCTGATTATCCTAATTTAACTGAGCTTAAGCTATTTAATTTTAACGATAAAATTCTTTCACATTATTTTACAGGTAAATAACTTACATATTTATTTGAGTAAAGTTTTAGATAAAAAAAATTATTGTGTAGATAGACTAGACAATAATTATTTATTTATTTTTATTTAGTTGAAACACCATTACGACATATTTTTCAACAACAAATTACAGATCTTATTCTTGTATTCGAAAAAGATTTTAATGAAATATCAATAAAAAATTATACAACAGATATGTATGAAAATAAATATTGAAATCCTTCAAAAATCTGAAACATTTTGTTTTTTATTAGATCATTTCCTAATTTTTTTCCACCTTTGATACTTCATAATTTACCTTCAACAACATTCTTCTCTTCAACTCTTAACAAATTATCTATTCATGTGATGAGTTTTGATGATTGTCTTGCTTTACTTGATGGTCGTTTTAAACAATTAATGACCTTAATTGTTCTTATTAATAATATTAAATATCATTCATCAAATGTTTATAATATCGTAAGTTTACATTTTATTTAATTAATTTTACAATTAAAAAAAAATTCTATTGTTCAAGGCAATAATTGTTTTTATATTATTACAGATAGTTTTTTTATTAATAAATTAATATTTATTTCAATCACTTATAATTAAAACTACGAGAGTCCGGGCATACTGCAGGACAGTTCTTTTCCTTTAACGTATCAATTCAAACCTTTAACATTTCTCTCGGTAACAGACATTGGATATGACGTATATCGATAGTCGTACGGTCTTATAGCCTTATATTGCTAATATCGTTGTAGACCCTGTGGCCTTACAGTCTTATATGCCATGCAGGTCTTATTGCCTTACTCTCCTATAGTTTTACCCTCATAACCTTACTTCCTTATAAACTTATCTCCCTATAGTCCTATCCCTTATTGCCTTAATCCCTTTTTGCATTACCTTCGAATACGCTTACCTCTTATAGCCTTATTAACCTTTGACCTAACATAGACACTGAACGTTATATATAGAGAGAGATTCTTTGAGTAGTCAAGAAGTGATAAAACATCTTCGTTTAACTTTTCCTTCACAGCTATAAATAATCTTGGTTGTTTTGATTTCCTTTAGTTCTTTTAATTATTTTCTTTATCATATGAGAAATAGAAAATCTATAATAGTCATGAATATTAAAGAATATTAGTGTCAAAGACCATAAGAAAAATACAAAAGCAAAATATACTTGAATAATAGATCAGAATAGATAAAGATTATCAAAAATATAGAAAAACAATATTGAAATAACTTTCATTTGTTATGAATTGATGAGTTGTTAAAGTAAGATTTTAATATAAATAATATTTGTTTGATTTAATGCTGATTATTTCACATAATGGAAATAGTCATATGATATCTAATGATATGACTCGTTTTCTGTAGGACAAATAATTTTATTTAATATAGATTTATATATTAAACTTGATCTGAAGTTTTTTGAATTCTTCCAGTATCTATTATTTCTTATATCTTACAAGTTTAGAAATAAAATCTATTTATCTTATGTCATTATTTTAGAAAAAGATATTTATATGATATACAAGAATACATATTTAAAAATGAATTAAATAGAAATAGAGCTATGTTTCAGTCTTGAATTATTATACATCTGAACTTCTTATTTTTTTTTGATTGATGATAATATATTGTTTTATATATTCTAGGATGATCTACCTAATTTGAAATATTTTTCTTTAATAACATATTATTGCTTAAGTGATATATATGATACTGAAATTTTACCTCTTTTTCGTCGTATGTCAAATCTTGAAGAATTAACGTTGTATATAACTATTAAAAATCGGACGAGAATAATCGATGGTAATCATATTTCTAATGAAATTCTTATACATATGCCACGACTTCATACATTTAACTTTTGTTTTACTATCAATATTCATACGGATCATTCAGTTTATTATGTATCAAAAGATGATATTCAACGTTTTTTTATTAACTTAAAACATCAACAAGTAAATTGTATTGTAAATTACCAATTTGGTATTGCCACATGTCATGTCTTTTCATTACCATTTGTGTTTGATTACCTTCAATATATTGGTAATACATTTCCAAGTATTATTTTTAATCATGTTAGAAAGTTGACGGTGCGTGATGTAGTTTCATTTAAACATGAATTTTTTCATCGAATTGCTTGGTCTTTTCCTTTTCTTAAGCATTTATGGGTTATTAATTATGAACCACAATCATCAAAATTAGACAAATTGAACTCGAATTATAAACAATTGTATTCAATTGTTACATATCCTTATCTTATTTCGCTTCGGCTGGATACTGCTTATATTCATTATATCGACCAATTTCTCAACGAGACAAAAACACATCTACCTTCTCTAACCAAATTAAGAGTCAATTATGAATGTTTAACAATCGTGACAAGAAATTTTAGAAAAACTACAACACGGCTTAATTGCAGTAAAGTGAAAGAATTAATTATTAGTCCAACACTAAATGATCCAACAATAACAAGAAGGAAGATTTCAAAATATTTCAATCTTTATTTTCCTCTGCTGGAATCCTGCACTTGTTCTTTACTAGATGAATAAAATGAATGATGATAACATATTAATAGTATCTTATGTAATCGTATCATATTGTTCAAGAGGTATCAATTAGAAATGCTTATTAGATTCTGGAACTTTTTTTTCTACAATAAATGTTTAGATCTAACATTTTGTATATATGATATATGTCAACAGAGATTAGTTTGTTTATTTCATATGTTTGAAATAATAGTTTAATAAATAAAAATAAAATGAATCAATTATCTATTCATAATCATTAATATATTGTTTTATATGAATTAGATAGAATAGATTTAAGGACTTGTTTATTTTATGTATGATGATTCAATATGTCTGTTTGGTAGCATTGGTTTGTAAACTTTAACACCGTCAACTCTTCAGCAGCAATGTCAAAGGTCCAAAAAATGTCCACTTTATCTAAAGTTCCCTATGAATATGTGGGACTTTGCGTACCTTATAAAATGTCACGTATATCAGTAGTGATAGGAAGAGCAAAATATAAATACTCCACCAGCGAATATTTCTGTATTCTTGCAGGACTTTTCTTTTTGTGCTATTCCATAGGATCTCTCCCAGAAAAAACACAACTATCTCGAAATTGAGCGAATGTACTTTTATCTTGTAGAACTTGATAAGCTGTATTTATGGTAAAAATATCAGATCTCGCGACCGCTCCTTTACAGAGATATACGAGCCACAAGTTTGTTAGAAATCAAAGAAAAAATCAGAGCATTCATCTTATATCATCTGTCACTAATGCTAATATTCAAATCCACGTGCCGGAATTACTATTGTTGAATTTACAGCCGTAAACAATATTTATAAGACGCTTTTTTTTCCATACAAAGTTTAGATGAGACAAAGTATCAGTGAGTTTAAAAAAAGTAATGAACCTTGAAGAGAAAGAATATTAGAAGTGACGGGGATCGTCCAAGATATCTCGAGCTTGTTGACACTACTAGAATATTATATTGCATACTTCGCTAGTACATGTATTATTAAGTGTGAAATCAGAACTAAAAAGCTTTTGCTAGTCAACATCGGGATAATAAGCAATTGATCCCACTCATCGGTATTCATTTCACTTGAAAATTTAATAAGCTTCATGAAAAAGAAAAATTCCTTCCTTCTAATCATTTGAAACCAATCGAAAATAATAAAATAGTTTATCATTAATTTTTCTCTTTTTATCAATATATATATATAATGTTCGAATTATAGCAAATAAAAAAATAAAAAATAGAAAATATGCATAACATATGAGAATTGACTATAATCGTTCAGAACAAAACAAAAAACAAAGAACATATTTTTCTATGTGTCAGAAGATCAAATATATTTATTATCTGATACATAAGAGATATTCTTTCTTTCTTTTCTTTTTTTTTTTTTTTTTTTTTTGTAAATAAAGATAACAGATGCAAAAACAAAACAAGATCACTGTTTATCAGTTATTATTTTTCTTTTCGCTTTATATAGATATTGTCTATGGAATAAAAATAAAAATAAAAATAAATAAATGAAATAAAGTAAAACAAATTATTTTAATGATGTTTTTATTTCTTCCATGAGATTAGAAAGATAATGTATTTCTGTTGATTTACCATCAATTAAAATATCATTTTGAGAATTCTAAATAAATAAATAAAATTTTTTTTTAGTTTGATTTTTAATAAAAATCTTAAAATAGACATACTATTGATTTAAATAAAAGAGCTATTGGCTGTCCAAGAATTGTTTCAGCATATAAAGATGCAGCTGAATTAATTTTTTCAACAACTAAATTAAAAATTTAAATATAAAAAACAATTTCAATTTATTTTCTAACCAGTTAATCGATAAGATTGACAAATTCTATTAATTATTGATAGAAAATCTTGATTAGATGATGGAATACGAAGTTGTGATTGACATGTCAATGTACCGGAACTCATCAAATCAGCAAATACCATACTTTTTAAAAAAATATATATTCATGTTAAATAATCTAATACAAAAAACAAATCTATGCTTACGAATCGATAGTCTTTCGTCGTAAATATTGTGAACAAGGTAAATTAAGTTTAAATTCAATTCTATCTGTTTCAATTGTATTTGATTTCTAAATATATTTGTGAAAAATGAAGATAATAAGTATTTTTTTTTTAATTTGTTCAACATACATTTATAGAATAAGTTAATGTTGTTTTTAAGTTTTGAGAAAATGATATAGCATTTATTAAAAAATAAATATGAATATAATTTTGTGAATGAGGAAAAAGACTTATAGATGGAAATGATATTAAATTTGTACTTATTGTATTTAATAATTTTGAACTCATACTATCAATAACATGAATATTAATATGATCAATAATAAATGATGTTCGATTTTTTAAAAGAAATGTTACATCAAGTTGAGCTATTGATGGATTTGGATTAATTGAATATTCCTAAAAATAAATTTATAACAGATTGTTTAAATATATACGAAGAAAAAAAATGTCGAAACTACAACAGTAGAACTTTTTGCTTGGACGATTGTCATCTTACGAGGGAACTACCCGAGGTGCTAAAAAGCTTTTGAGCTGAAATTTTGTCCACAAGTAGGGAATGCATAGACTAGAAAAAGCCTAAGAGGATATGTCCCCAAGTTGAGATTTGGCTGAGATATCGGCTTTTTACTATAGTTTTTCTATGTGACTCCATTTTTTCCATTAAGTCAAATTTTCGAATTTTGGCGTGAAACTTTCCCCATATCAAGACCTCAATTAGAGTAGCTCATCTACAAAGTTTCAGAATTTTTGGACTAAGCATTCTCGAGATATGAGTCTGTTAGCATAGACACAGTTTTTTACGGATATTTTTATATACATGGATATTTTGAAAACGTTATATCTCGGAAATGCTTAGTCCGAAAATTCTGAAACTTTTTAGATGAGCTACTCTAGTTGAGGTCTTGATATGGGGAAAGTTTCACGTCAAAATTCGAAATTTTGACTTAATGGAAAAAATGGGGTCACATAGAAAAACTATAGTAAAAAGCCGATATCTCAGCCAAATCTCAACTTGGGGACATATCCTCTTAGGCTTTTTCTAGTCTATGCATTCCCTACTTGTGGACAAAATTTCAGCTCAAAAGCTTTTTAGCACCTCGGGTAGTTCCCTCGTTAGTGAATTTCTCTTCAGATCATCTTCAAAAACAAGTTCTCGATAGGATTAATTCATTATGCAAGTGTCACACTTTCAAATATCTTCTATCCTGAGATATCAATAGAGTCTACCACCTAATGAGATAAGACTCATGTCAAAAGCATTTTATCGGTTAGCGAAATTTTCTCATCGATTGGTAAAACTAGGATGACTATTGAACTTACAATTTTCAAATTATCAGATTGAGCAGCTAGTTTATAATCATCTTGTTCATTGTATTGTTGCTGAGATTGATTTGTTGGAGAAATATCATCACTCATAATGTCCAATAGGAGTGCCGCAGAAGTATTTGTATCTACTGTTGTTTCTGATGATGATGGTTTTTTTTCTTTAGTTTTCTTTTTCTTTGGTTTTTCTGCAATAGCAGAAGGTGGAGGTGGAGGTGTAGAAGTTGGACGATTTTCTTCTTCATCAACTGGTGATAATAATTCTTTATAATCACTACGTTCTCGTTTGTGTTTAGATTTCGATGTTGATGATTGTTCTTGTTTTTCAATTATTTTCTTTTTCTTAGATTTTTTTGGTTTTTCAGTTAATACAGAAGGTGTTTCAACTTGTTTAGGAACTGGTTCTTTTAATTGAGATGTCAATGGTGGTGGTGGTTGTGATGTAGGAATGGATTGAATAGATTTGTCATTTAAGTCAATATTAAGTGCTCGATGTGGATCATATTTTTTATTTTTTCCAACAGTTTCATCATGATCATTATCTTCATTTCCACTTTGTGTAGCATCTTCTGGTAATTCACCACCACGTGTTACTTTAATAGTTGGATAAATATCATCATCATTATCATCAATTATTGTTATATCGGATTTTTTCGATGATTTCTTTCCTTTTTTTGATGATTCACTATCAATTTTTGATTTTTTCTTTAAACGTCGATTTTCTTCATCAATTTTTGTTTGACGATATAATTGATTAGATAATGTTAATTGTGAATTAGTAACATTTGTTCTTTGTGATAATGTTGATTCAATACGATCATTACCATTTATAGTATTCGAATTTGTTTCAGTCTATAATATTAAAGATAAATTTAAGAATTGAACTAGACTATTGGCATTCAAATGAGCTAAGAATATTCTGAAGACAGTTCAAGTCCGTAGCTTATTGCTGTCGAGATACTGCACTTTTTTTTAATGGTAGTTTTTAAAATAAATGCCATAGTTAGAACCCGTCGGGTTGGTTCAGATCCAAAGTATTGAACTCGATGGGTTCTAGCCGTAGTACTCCTTATATCAACATAGAAACTAATCAAAAGATTTGAAATGTTCACAATAAATCACTAACACTAAAAGTTTATTTGTGTCAATAACTTATACCTGTTGTGTTAATTTTGGTTTTTTAGAATCTTTTAAATAGAATGGATTCATTTGTTCACTTTGTTTTCTTGATTCTCGTTGTTTTTCTAATTCTTCAGGAGTTGGTTCAATATATTTTTTCGATTTTTGAT